AGTGTTGCCCTCCGAGGAACTGTTCGACATTTTTCCTCTAGGGCAACCTGTTCTTTACGTGATGCTCTGGAGGATGCCGAATCTGCTCCCTCTGAGGAAATCGTGGTTTGAGATCCTCGGAGGACACCAATTGCTTACCCTCCGAGGAATACGTCAGATATGTAACCCCCAGAGTAACGTTTCTCAGGCAATGCTCTGGAGGATGCTGTATATCGTACCCTCGGGAGGATTTTTCGTTTGATATCCTCGGAAGAGGCCGATTGTCTCCCCTCCGAGCTTTATTGAGGTTTTTCCCTCGGAGCATATCGTGCACAAATCCTCTAGAGGGTAAAATATCCTCCAGAGGATTTCGAACCCTCTAGAGGATTGTTTTTCCTCAGAGGAATATGGGCGGGTAGCCATTTGTCTACCTGTGACGCGCTTTGGCGTCAGCTTCACGCTTCGCCTCTTCAAAGTTGCGGAACGAGATGTGGTTGTTGTCGGGAATTGCCGCTCGCTCATCGGCGTCCAGTTTAGCCCACGCGGAAGGCTTCATCACATTCTGGAGGATGGACGGCATCGGCTGCTCGTCAAGGGAACTTGCGCCGCCCATGTCAATAGCACCCCTTGCCGTCGGCGGCTCCGCCATGTCGGCTACCTTCGATATGGAACCATTCGAAAGGGTACGAGTGAGTGGAGGGGCAACAGACGATATTGCATGACCATGGGGTGCAACTGGGTGTAGTCGTTTTTAGGGAGTTTCATAAGCAGGCACGGGACGCATTGGAGCGGTCCTTGGCAGATTATGGGCGATGGCATCAGATGGTCGCCTACCAGTTAAACGCCTTCAACTTCTGACAGCAGGAGTATTCGTTGTCTGCACGCGTGTGGGTGCAAATGGGAGAGGACGTGCTGGTGTAGGGGTACGATTTTCTGCTACAGCGGGTAGTCTAAAGATATTCTATTCTTAGATACAGATTCTACGTCTCTGCATGCAATTGCATCGCTGTGAATAGGGGTAGAATCACGGTTTCCAGTCGGCACATCTACACTTCCTTTGTAATCAATCAAGTGACTAAGGATGCGCGTGCCAAAGACATTGGTTGTGTTCTCAGAATGCGATATAGCAAGGGTGTCAGAATGCAGCCGAGAGAACGTTTTGATAGTTTCTCGGGGGCTCGCGACAGCGAGACCAAAGCGCGTTCTGACGTGCTTTCGACGGAGCCTCTAACTCCAATCGAGTGCGTGTGTGAGGCGTCGATCAAACTCGGGGAATGAAAGCCAACACGATCCACATTCGGCACATGTCCGCGCTAGGAATGGGATGCAGTCATGCCCAGTACATGTTCGCGCTATGTAGGAATGGGATGCAGTCGGACTGGCGTCTGAACAATTCAAACTCTGAGGTTCGAAAATGCCGACAGCGGCACAGCTGGACTACCAGGGGCAGGAGTACTAGACTCGACCGCGCCACTGGGGGCGTCCGACACGCGCACGACGGAGCTGTGAGCTTCAATCGTGTGCGTGCGTGAGGCTGCAATCAAACTCAGAGAGCGAGAGCCGTCACCATCCAATTCCGGTACATTGCCGTGTTCGGATATATGGATGCGGGGTGCGAGTTGAACCACCGAGCTCATGTGCATTTCTGCAGATGTCTCAAAGCGGTGTGCCACATCTGATGACCAGCGGCGAGCTGAATCACGAAAGGGCACAGACCTGGAGCACGGCGCGCGACCAAGGCCTTCGGCATATGCCACATCTGATGCACACAGCGGCAGTTCCAGACTGTAACTAACAGCAGTACTCTGACGGGTGTGGTGTCTACCGCGCACTGACTGGATGCGCTGTTCCACACGCAACAACCCATTTGAACCAACCACGGTTCGGAGAGGGGGGGACTCTCTCTTTGCTCATATGTTGTACTTCAACCTGTGGTGATGGATGATTTTTGCGGCGACTGTTGTGTTTCCCTCGCCTCAAGCAGTGATGGGGAGGCAGGGCGCTTGCTGCTACGCATTCCGCATGAACAGCGAGAGTTCTAACGAAGATCTACGATCGTCATGATGTTCATTTTTTTGTCTTGGACAGTGCCAACCGACGGCAGCACACCATCTGTTACACATTTCATGACCCTTACATGAACTAGGGGACACGGCGGAAAAGCTATAGCTTACACACCGATCGCTCCGCTGCTACTGCTGCATACCTGCGCGTACCTCGACTACGCAAACGAAGCACGATCCCTGGGCGTGCTTCCCTGTCAGCCTCTGGCCAGGCGACGCGATGACCCGGATGTCAGCTGGCCTTGTGCTTCTGGCTCAGGCGGCGACCTTTGGGGCGAATCACGCGTTCTCAGTGAGCAGCGGCAGTAGCAGTAGCGCACGGGTGCATCATGAGCTGTCCAGACATCGTCCGCCCAAGCCTTTTCTGGCTGCCGAAGCCTGCTTGCAAGGATGGTGCTCCCACAAGTGCAAGGCGCGAGTGGTGGCTGGCGGAGCGGCGGGCGTGTCGATGTCGTGGTGCTGCAGGACGAGGCGAAGCCGCAGTTCCTCTCGTCTGACTGCTTCTGCTGCTGCTTCTGCTGCTGCTGCTGCAGGGGGTGCAGGCTCAGGGCCGAGGTCATCAGCCTGGGAGAGCAGCGGGGTCAGCGGGGACTCAGGCGTCGATCAGACGGAGCAATCGGAGGCGCAGCGGGGGCCTAGTGTCAAGGCCCAGATGATGGAGATCTTGAGGCCTGATTTGCCAAGGGTGAGAACGGTCTTCAGTAGAGAGCGGTCCTGTTGGGTGATGTACATGTTCAATACTACTGCTTCTAAACATAGCCGTGCCTGAGTACGTACAGAGCACCTCTTACCTTTCACGCACAAGACACGCAAGTTGCCGTCCTCCTGAGTGTAGAGCTGTTTTGTAGTCGTCGGGGCCGTCCATATCCACCCAGCTAAGCATGGAGAGTATCATCTCAGTTCGCACGTTATTATCGCCCTCATTTTGTGGTACCAATCATTCGTCATCAAACACTTGATATTGATGGAAACACACTTACCGTCGGTTGCGTAAGATATCACACCCCCTCTGGACCGGTATTCGAAGCTTGACTTCTCTGCAGGAACGGCAGTGACGGTGCCGAACTGGGCGGCGTTGGAACCGCCTTGTCAAGAGGTTTCTGAAAACGTACCGTTTGATTTCGGCATCCTCTTCGTGGAGTAATCGACATTTGGAAGTGGGTCCAAACGGGTGTGGTATCTCATGCAATCTACGGTAGCATGAGTCGCCCGCAGGGGAGAACATCCCTTTTTGCTGCTCGCGGAGCAGCAGAAACACAAGTTGGTCATCATAAACAGGATGGATTCACTCATTGCTAGTCTTACCCGAACTATTATCTGCTGTGGAAGACATGACCATTGTTGTATTTTGTATAACATACAGGTAGAAATAAAGGTCAGTCTGATTCTATACATATGGACTCCTTTCCCAAAAAGCTTCACTTTTCAGGATGGGCAGAAATCGGCTTCTTACACATAGCCAGATTCGTCAGTTATTTGGGTCGACAAAAAACGGGTTCAGCTTTTTGGGTGGCCTCCACCGGAAAAGTTTGGAAGAAATCAGTATGGTGCCCGCCCAGATTTCACATCCCAAAAAGTTCACCGCTGGGTGTGCGTGTGTGTGTTTTCGTCCTATTTATTATGGCGACAGCAGTCCCCCCATTTTTCGTGTTGAGATGTGTACTACACTTTTCAGCGTATGTGGAGTACTACACTTTTTAGTGTATTTTTTCGTACAACTACAACCATCCAGGGTCACACAGGAGGGGGTAAACACCAGGGCTTTTTTCTTCTTTTTGTTTCTTTTCATGCCGCACCTTCCTCCTGCGGTGCGTGCCGAATTTGTATTTTTGTCGCGAGAAGGGTCCAGCCGTCCCTTTCCCTCGTCAACGGTGCTAACGTCGAAGTTTGGTACTCACGAGGGCTTTTTAGCTATATTTCGCTTTCACCCGCAAATTTCGTAAATTTTTCACCCCATGGGGATTGAACCCAGACGACACAATCGGCGAGTGCGACCTGAGTCATTGATGTATCGCTCCAATCAAGGGCTACCAGCGACCCTACGCTGAAGGGCTTGCTATTCTGCACGCTGGTTGTTGATGGTCGCTCGGCACGCGTGCGTAAAAAACATATCGCATCACACCAAGCATGGGAGACGCCGAAACAGGTGAAACCGCCACGAGACAGCAAGAAGAGCCGCTTTTTGTCAGAGAGGGGCGGACACCGCAACTGATTTCTCGCTCCCTGGGCCACCGATCGAAGCCAGACCGGTCAGGGCGTGCTCTCTGTTCCTTGCTGTCTGCCGGAGTAGATTCGCTCAGCAGCTCGTTGGTCCAATCATTCGAAATCGTCGTCTGTACACGAGGTGTCTGTTGAAATTGTTTTCAGGCCATCAACACATCAGCCTATTCTCAAGTGAAGCAGACCAGCAAGAAATCACAGTTCGAAAAAGCAACGGGCACCACGCGCATGCTTCTCTCCGTCGATTGAGATTACGCGGTGCTGAGCAAATCTACTCCGGCGGGGAGCAAGGAACAGAGAGCACACCCTGACCGGTCTGGCTTCGATCGGTGGCCTAGGGAGCGAGAAATCAGTTGCGGTGTACGCCCCTCGCTGACAAAAGGCGGCTCTTTCTGCTGTCTCGTGGCGGTTTGGCCTGTTTCGGGGTCTCCCATGCTTGGTGCGATGCGATATGTTGTTTTTACGCACGCGTGCCAAGCGATCACCAATAGCCCGCGTGCAGAATAGCAAGGCCTTCAGCGATGGTTGCTGGGAGCCCTTGATTGGAGCGATATGTCTATACGTTAGGTCGCACTCGATGATAATGTCGTCTGGGTTGATCTACACCCACCCCCCAAGAAACCGTCTTCGGAATCCGATTCACTGTAAGGACGGCCGGACTTTTTTCCAGCCGGATTTTTGCCCATCCTGAAAAGTGAATTTTTTTGGGAAAAGAAACCAGGTGTCTTTTAAAGAATCAGTCTTATTCCAAAAACATAATTTGAAAGTTGGGCTGCCAACCGCCGCTGCTCGTATCCCGGTACTTCGTACTTGTACCGCGGTCGCCGCTCGCTCGTAGGTTGAATGGCGATGGCGAGTGTATGCGGGTGGAGTTTTGAAATGAGAGATACAAGGAAGAAATGCTGCAAAGATGGGAAAAGTCGTTTGTTTGTTCGAAGAGCAGAGACGCACAGTAGATAAGTTCATATGTCATGCGACAGCCGGAGGACATTATTCGGAGTAAGAAATTTGTTTTGAAGAAACCAAGGCTCGCTTTCCACGAAAAAAGAAGGAAAAATATCATTAGCTCAACCTGGGCAACACAACAGAAGAAACGTCGCAGCAAGAAAACAGAGGAGTGACCCCTAACATACTCACTATTCGTACGACACGAGGGGCTACGGCGGGGGAAGGGAGTGAGTGTGTGTGTCGAATAATAAAACTGTGAAAAAGATACACCAAGCAAACAGTTTATATCCCTCCCTTCCCCCTCTCCCATGTGCTACCCACCCTCTAAGCGAGACGTTGTAGCTGAATCCAGTTCGCGTCTTCTAGGATGTGTGGTCTTGGTATGTATATGATCTGATGTACAGCTGTCGGTGGTGAGCATCGGGGTTGAGTACGGGAGGCGAGGAAAAGCAGCACAAATTGTTACGGTAGTTTTTTCAGCACGTTGTGTGTAAGCAATTAAAGCAGAGAAAAGTTGACAACTTTTTCCCGATTTATGAAAATATGGCAACCCACAGCAGCAGTATCATATATTACAATATGCTCTGCCAGAGGGTTATGGGAGTCCGATGACAGTAGAAGTTCGTGTGTTGGTGTGTGTTGGTGGAATGCGGAGCATGTTCCTGTAGCCGCTCTACAACTAAAGTGCGGTACATTGGTAACAAGATACTATTTCCGAAAAAATATATACTCCATGTAAAATAGTACTTCCTCCATGAAACGAAGGAACAAACAACGTATTTCATGTTTGTTTATTTCCATCTCGGGCGGGTGTAGTTTTGCAGACAGCTGTGCGCACGACACCGGCCGCAAGCCCCCCCGCTTTTCGCCGGGATCGAAAGGGAGACGAGCTACAGCAGTGGAGAACTTTGTCTCATGTCATGTCATGCGAACACTTGGTGGCTTGGTTGTCGTGTGTGGTAGGGTGTGTAGGGTGTAGCCAGAGCACACGCACCATCCACGTCAGCCGCTTGCCGAATGTATGAACGGCCTGCACTGTCAAGAAATCGGGGCGTGATTGGTGGATCCATAGTAGATGTCGGAGACGCGACTTTCTGCCCTCGCTAGCGCTGCACGCAGCCCGTTCCGAGAGCGTGCGGCACGCCGGGCTATCGGTAGGTGCAAGTCTCGCTTCGAGGCGAGGTCTATGGGCGGAGAAGCCGCGAAAAAATAGGCTCTAGGCTCACGAGATCATCAGGATTGCACTTCCTGCGATCTCGTGAGCCCTCAGCCCGTAGGAAATCCGTCTGTAATTTGGGTCTATCTTGTAAAACAGCAACAGCACCAGTTTTTACTTTTGTTGCCCCCCAAAGCATATCGTGCCGACAAAACGCGGGTACTACTCTCGGCGATCGAGCCATGTGTTCACTGTTCATAAATAGTGGACCGTACTACAGTATGATGCAAATGGTGCTTACCAACTACGTTGTGATGTTTACTCTGCTTTTTCGATACCAGCAGCATCGCCGAACACGCGTGTGGTGGTCCAAGAGCGGACCAAGTACAGCACGGGTTACCATCGCATGCGGTGTAGTCAGACACAATCTGTATACCATGGTGCCCACGATGTACACCACTTTGGCCTGGCTTCGGAGATGCGTTCAAAGATAGATATATAGAAATACTTTGTAGTATTGTAGTGCATGGCACTCCCTGGACCGGTTGTTGCCGTTCACGTTCCTGCTCTCCTTGCTCTCCGCCTGCAAGCAGGGCACAGCATCGACGACCATGCACACGTGAGACGTTTGCGTATACTGTACCACCCACCGGCACACGCACAAAGTGTACAATACACAGCTCGCCTGTTGCGGCTCCTCACGAAGCACCCACTTTGTCAAAAACGCCTTCCTTTTTTAATCGCGGTCCTTGTCCGTCTCCCTCCACTCTGGCGCACCCACGCTCAATTTTGTCCCTTTTCTCTTTCTTCCTCCTCCGCACCTCCAAAAACGAAAGATATCTGTTTCGGTTCTGTGGGCGGCTCTTGGCACAGTGGCAGCCCTTGCCGCCCCCCTCGCCTATGCTCGTATCGTCGAGGCGATCCTGGACCCGACTTCCCCGCCCTCCCGCCTCACGAGGGCTGTCGCCATGCTCGGCACCAGCTACGCCGTAGAGCCTGTGTCGACGTATCTGTACGTGAAGGTCATGAGCGGGGTGATCGACCGAGCGGCCTCGGGACTCAAGCTCCGGGCGTTTCGGTCCCTGCTGGCGCAGGAGGTGGCGTTTTTCGACCTAGGGGGTTCTTCAGAGGTGCGCTGCACAACGCGGGGGGGGCGGGGGGGGCGG